ACATTTCACTGAGCATAATAATCTCAAGATCCATCCATGTTGCTGCAAATGGCATTATTTCATCTTTTCCTATGGCAGAGTAGAATTCCATTGTGTATAAATATACCACATCTTCTTTATCCAATCATCTATCGAAGGACACTTTGGTTGTTTCCATGTCTTGGACACTGTTAATAATGCTGCAATGAATATCAGAACACATATATCTTTACGGATATTTTCAGATTTTTTGGGTAGATACCCAGGAGAGGGATTGCTGGGTTGTATAGAAATTCTATTCTTAATTTTTTTTTTTAAAGATTTTTATTGGTGAATTGGGGGGATGGGAACAGTGCTGGGGAATTGGGGGAAGGGGAATAGACAAGTTACTGTCATTTTGTTCTTCAGTCTAGTTGTGGAGGATGTTGCTTCACTGGCCCAAGTTGGCACCATCATTGCGCTCTTCCCGGGTGAGGCAGATCAGTCGCCGGCTTCTGGACGGCCGCTCACTGCGGCTGCTGGCCGCTCACGATGGCTGCTGGCTACACACGGTAGCTGCTGGCTACACACGGTAGCCCATGGCAACCCACTGCCACAGGGGCTGCAGCCCACGCCGTTGCCGGCAACTCACAGCAACCCAGCTCCAGGTTGAGCTGTTGTTCAGCATCTTAGCTGTGGAGGGCAGTGTCACTGGCCCTCATATGTGGGATCCGAACCGGGGCCCTCTGGCATCGCCAAGCGAGTTCTTAACCATCGCGCCACTCGGCCGGCCCTATTCTTAATTTTTTGAAGAGCCCTCATACTGTTTTTCAAAGCAGGTGTACCAATTTACATTCCCACTGGCAGTGTATAAGAGTTCCTTTTTCTCCACAGCCTCTCCAACACTTGTTATTATTTGTCTTGTTGATGATAGCCATTCTAACAGGTGTGGGGTGATATCTCATTGTGTTTTTGATTTGCATTTCCATAATAACTAGTAAAGTTGAACATTTTTTCATTATCTGTTGGCCATTTGTATGGCTTCTTGGGAGAAGTGCCTCTTTTTGTTGTTGAATTGTATGAGTTCTTTATATATTTTGGATATTAACCCCTTATTGGAGACGTTGTTTGCAAATATCTTCTCCCATTTTGTTGGCAGCCTCTTTGTTTTGTTGACGGTTTCTTTTGCTGTGCAGAAGCTCTTTAGTTTGATATAGCCCCATTCATTTATTTTAGTTTTTACTTCCTTTGCCTTTGAGGTCAAATTCATAAAATCCTCTTTGAATCCCAGGTCCATAAGTTTAATACCTATGTTTTCTTCTATGTAGTTTATTGTTTCAGGTTTTATGTTTAATTTTGAGTTAATTTTGGTACACAGTGACAGCAGTCTTGTTTCATTCTTTTGCACATGGCTTTCAATTCTCCCAGCACCATTTATTAAAGAGGCTTTTTTTCCTCCATTGTATGTTTTTGGCTCCTTTGTTGATAATTATCTGTCCCTATTTATTTCTGGGTTTTCAATTCTATTCCATTGGTCTATGTGTCTGTTTTTCTGCCAATACCATGCTGTTTTGACTATTGTCACTTTGTACTACAAGCTGAAGTCAGGGAGTGTGATACCTCCAGCCTTGTTTTTTCTTAGGATTGCTTTGGCTATTTGGGGTCTTTTGTGATTCCATTCAAATCTGATAGTTTTTGTTCTATTTCTTTTTAAAAAATGCTATTGGGATTTTGATGAGGACTGCATTAAATATGTATATTGCTTTGGGTAATATGGCCATTTTAACTATGTTGATTCTTCCAATTCATGAACATGGAATATCTTTCCATTTCTTTATGTCTTCTTCAATTTCTTTAAAAAATATCATAGTTTTCAGTGCACCAGTCCTTCACATCCTTCATGAAGTTTATTCCTAGGTATTTTATTCTTTTTGTTGCAATTGCAAAAATAACTTTTCATTTCTTCTTCTGAAATTTCATTGTTGGTTTATAGGAAAGCTACGGATTTTTGTGCATTGACTTTGTAGCCAGCAACTTTACTGTATTTGTTTTTTGTTTCTAATAGTTTTTTGGTGGAGTCTTTAGGGTTTTCTGTATAGAGCATCATGTCATCTGCAAAAAGTGACTATTTAACTTCTTCATTCCCTATTTGGATGCCTTTTACTCCTTTCTCTTGCCTGATTGCTCTGGCTAGGACTTCCAATACTATGTTGAAAAGCAGAGATATTAGGGGACAGCCCTGTCGTGTTCCTGAACATAGAGCAAAGGGCTTCAATGTTTCACTGTTAATTATGATATTAGCTGAGGGTTTGTCATATATGGCCTTTATTATGTTAAGATACTTTCCTTCTATACCCATTTTATTAAGTGTTTTAATCATAAATGGATTTTGTATCTTGTCAAATACTGTCTCTGCATCTATTGATATAATCAAATGATTTGTATCTTTTATTTTATTTATGTGGTGTATCACATTGATCGATTTGCATATTTTGAACCATCCTTGTGCTCCTAGGATGAACCCCATTTGATCGTGATGTATAATCTTTTTAATGCATTGTTATATTTGATTTGCTAGAATTTTGTTTAGGATTTTTCCATCTGTATCCATCAGAGATATTGGTCTGTAATTTTCTTTTTGTGCATGTGTTATCCTTACCAGGTTTTGGTATCAGGGTAATGTTGGCCTCATAAAATGAGTTAGGAAGTATTGCCTCTTCTTCAATTTTCTGGAAGAGAGTTGAGGAGAACAAGTGATAGACCCCCTTTGAATGTTTGGTAGAATTCACTAGTGAAGCCATCTGGTCCTGGATTTTTGCTTTTGGGAAGGTTTTAGATGACTGATTCAATTTCCTTACTGTTGATCCGTCTATTTAGATTTTCTGAATGGATAATTTCAAAGGACTTGTCCTCTACTTCACAGCTTATTTGTCCTGCTTGGTCCAGTCTGATATTAATGATCTCTATGGCATTTTATATTTAATTCATTGTATTCTTCAGCTCCAGAATTTCTGTTTGATTCCTTTTTATGATTTCTATCTTTCTGTTAAACTTCTCATTTTGTTCATGTATCATATTGCTTATTTCATAGAATTGCCTTTCTGTGTTTGTTTTGTAGCTCACTGAACTTCCCTAAAACAATTGATTTGAATTCTTATCATGCAAATCACATGATGTTCCTTTGGTGATGTCATATTTCCTTGATTTTTCATGTTCCTTGAATTCTTGCATTGCTGTCTTTGCACTTGAAGAAACAGTCATCTCCTGTAGTCTTTACTAACTTTGGGAGAGAAATACCTCCCATCATCTCTGTTAGGAATTCTGAGGCTTTCTCAGGCTTTTTGCATGCCTACTCCTTCTCCTCTTGAGAGGGAATTCATAAGATTGTACGCCTTATCTTGATTCTGCAAAGCCAGACGGGGTGCTGACAGCTTCCAACTTGCTTCCCTTAGGGTAGTGTTAAACGTTCAGATATGTGAGATTTCTCCCCATCCCAGAGAATCAGGTGGCTTTCTGTGTGTTCTCACTAGCCATCTGCAAACCTGTTTGTTCTTTACTCATGTTTACATAGATGTTCATACTTCATAATATTCATGCAACCTACTATCTTTTTATTCTGAATCTAATAAATTCAGTTATCATAAGTCTCTTTCGGTATGATTCTGCTAATTGTTTTTTTGCTAGCTCTCAGTCGGTACCGTAGTCTTTATGTGCTTAGTGATTTTTTATTGTGAGCTATTCATTTTCCTGTAATTCCATCTATGAAAATACTTTGAAGCTTAGGATGAAGGTGAGTTTCTCCAGGGAGGATTTGCATCTGCTTCTGACAGGTAATTAGCTCAGTGTTACTCATCTTTTGGTCTGTAGACTGGTGCCAGTCTGCAAATGACAACAAAATAAGGAGATTGCCCCAGATTATAAATCAACTACAGCACTAAGCACACTGTTTAGTTAGTTATCATTTATTTCATAGCAATACTTTCTTGAGTGAAGTTGTGAATTTATTCATAATATGCCACAATCTCCTTATCTCATACCTGACTTGTAACAAGCGATTTTTGGACTGGCTGTATAGAATCACACTAGCTTAGAATATTATCATCCAGTATCTCTTTAAACTAAGTTTTTATTTGAGGTGTTTTAGGTATTTCAAGTAGCATGAGATTGTACTGCACTAGGCATTTCACATACTGTTAACTGTCTTATCGTTACAATTCTCTGGGGTGCTTAAAACAACTTTATTGTCTTTACTTAATGCCAAGTTTTAGATATAAAACTTTCTTTGCATTTCTTTGGGATGATGGTTATTTTAGCTTTCACTTTTATATTAATGGTATATTCCATTGTGTGTGTGTGTGTGTCCCAACTGTATATTGGAATTTCCCATTACACCCTCCACCTTGATTGGGTTCTTGTTCTAGATCCTTGAGTCTCATGAAGCTAAAAAATATCTATGCTTAAGATGTCTTAGTTTGACAAATGTCTTCAACACCAAAGAGGCTCAGTGTTCTGCTACCTCACTAGGTTCTCATTTTCACATAGTATTTGTTTTTAATAGTACTTACTTTTTGTTAAGCCAACTAACTGATGCATTTGATCAGGTTTCTAAAATATTTGATCCAGAATTTTTTGTTGTTAGTTTGAGTAATTATTCTTCCATGTATGATCCTAACATAATGTTTAGTTTGTTTTTATTTTAGAATTCTTGCACAGGTTTCATTTGCTCTTCTGTCTCCTATTCATCCATCATTAATGAGATTGGCACTTCCAGATACGTTTTTAAAAATGTAGGTGGGAGTTTACACTTATATGGATGTTCTTTTCTCTATGTACACTATATGTTGATTAAAAGCATCCTAAAAATAAAGAATGAAAATCTATATGGCAGGGTTTTTTGTTGTTGTTATATTATTTACAGGGAAATCATTTAAGCTAGAGCACTGCATAGCATGGTAACATCATCCATTTAATTTGAATCACCTAGGGATACTGGAATATCAAGAGATTTCTTTTGTTATTTCCCTTCAAATCTCAGAAACACCATGGCAATGGCTGAGGGAAGAAATAGCACTATAGTTACCAGGTTTATCCTATTGGGATTCTATGAATTTCCAAGGCTTACAATCATCCTCTTTTCAATATTCCTATGGATCTACCTCATGTCAGTGTCCTGGATCTGAGTCAGGATAAATGCCTACCTGCACACATCCATGTATTTCTTCGTCAATAAACTTGCCTTCCTAGATGTTTGCTATATTTCCTCCATAGCTCCCAAGACACTCTCAGATTTCTTCAAGAAGCAGAAATCTATCTCCTTCATGGGCTGTGCCATGCAATACTTCTTCTTCTCTAGCCTGGGTCTGACTGAGTGCTGTCTCCTGACAGCCATGGCTTATGATAGATATGCTGCCATTTGTAAGCCTCTGCTCTACACAGCTATCGTGTCTCCTATACTCTGTGTGCAGATGGTGGCAGGATCTTATATAGCTGGATTGTTTGGTTCATTTATACTATTGTGTGTTTTATTTCAGTTCCATTTCTATGGACCAAATGTCATTAACCATATCTTCTGTGACCTGCCCCAACTGCTGATCCTATCCTGCTCTGACACCTTTTTTTTTCAAGTCATAATGCCTGTGGTCACAGTGATCTTTGGGCTCACCTCTGTCCTGGTTATCATGATATCCTATGGTTATATCATTGCCACCATCCTGAAGATCACTTCAGCAGAAGGCAGGTCCAAGGCCTTCAACACCTGTGCTTCTCACCTGACCGCAGTGACCCTCTTCTTCGGCTCAGGCAGCTTTGTCTATATGTGCTCTAGCTCTGATGATTCTCTGAGCTCGAACAAGCTGGTTTCTGTTGTATATGCTGTTATAATCCCCATGTTAAATCCACTGATCTATAGCCTGAGAAACAAGGAAATCAAGGGTGCACTCAACAGTTGGAAGAAGAGAATATTCTCCTGGACTTTTTGATTATGGGATACCTTTTAGGGCTTAGGACACAAAACATTTAGAACAGTCCATGAAAATGGCTATAATAGCCCTTATAAGCCTTGTAATATATTGTGTGGTTTTCAATCAATATTTGCTTCTCCTCTACTCCCTGGGACAGGGTTGTACTTCATCCCTTTGAAGTCAGGCTTGGCCATGTGACTTGTTATGAGAAGTAAAATGTGAGCAGATATGGCATACCTCACTTCTAGGCAGAGGCTATATATGTGTGTGCATTTTTTTTTTTTAGCTGAGCCATCCTGCCACCTGTTGGCAGCTCAGCAGCTGCTCAGCTTGGGCCAGGACTCGAACCGCTGTTGCTCAGAGCTCACACTCTTGAGTGAGCTCTTAACCAACTGAGCCACTCGGCCGGCCCTGTGTGTACATTTTAAACCTTCTCCTTTCCCGATGCTTCCATTATTGACTGGCTCCTAAGGAATAAGATGATGATGTAGTAGAACTGCCCCCAGCTGCCCCAGGATGGACATATAGTGTTAACAAGAAATAAATCTGTTTTGGATTATTTGCTACTGGAGCATACTCTGTCTATCATAACTGTTAGAGAAATTTGTACAGGGAGTGGTGTGCTACTTTAAAAAATGAAGTATTAACATCTGTAAGTTTCTTCAGGGCCAGGCAGTCAATGTCAAGGAATCTGTTATTGCCAACTGGAAGGGTAAGAATTTATGTTGGACACAGTAAAACATTTGACATACTGTCACCTGTGATAACTTGGAAGGGAGATTATTTGGGAAAGCAGAATGCTCATGGCATGAGTTAGTTGCTGTTGGATGCATTTAACAAGGTTATTCAAAAATGAGACTAGCTCACAAAACAACTGGTCAGTTTGCAAATAAGAATGAAAGGAAATATAGAAAGCGTCAAGATATTTGGAGGCTAGCAAAGTTAAAAGAGAAAACTGCTTTTCATCTGCAACTAGTAAACATAAAAAGTAGTGGGGACTGAGAAAAAAATGGCCAGTAAAACTCAGCCTTGTATCAAGAATGTGATCATCACACCCCATTGTTATAAGCTCTACATGGTTTAAGGTCATGGTCAGTAAACTCTTTAATTTGATAATGGTTCACATAAAAGAAATTTAGGGAGTTAGAATGTGACTCTTGCAGAGAAGACCTATAGGCCTAAGATGGAGAGATAGGGAGAGGAGAAAGAGAGAGAGAGAGAGAGAGAAAGAGAGAGAGAGAGAGAGAGAAAGAGAGAGAGAGAGAGAGAGAGAATAGAAATGTTAAAATAAAAAGCATTTAGGTATGCACTTGAGTGATGAAACTATAGAGAAAAGTCAGGAAGTGATTATCATTGAATCAGAATAGTAGCTACCCTTAGATGGGGGGAGGGGGCTCCACTGGGCTTGAGCGTGTGGGGGACTTCTGAGGTGGGTAGCAAAGTGTTACCAGCTCACATTGGTGGTAGCTGCAGGGATGTTCTCATGGAATTTATTAAGTTGTATTTTTTTTGTTGTTTTCTGTATTTGATTATTTTTAACAATAAGGTTAAAATTTTTAAGTAAAAATCAAGTATAATGGGATTATAAAGTTGGTGAGATCAGGAATATGTGGGTTAATTTATATTATTAAAAATAAAACAAAATACATGGTAAAGATCTGCTAGAATAAGAACCATTAACCAAATTAAAAATTTGAATAGTGTATTTTACAGCCATTGAAACGATTTACAAAGTTTTAAAAACATATGAAAATAATATTGTGTAACAAAAGGGGAGTAGGGAATTGTACATATATGACATCAGTTTTGTAAAACTGTGAACAGAAAAGTGGAGAGATTACAATAATAATATTAGTAATGATAAATTTCTAACACATATATTAAGTGCTTCCAAGAACTGGACAGATGTTATTTCATTTAAGTTCACCATAACCCTTTTTAGGTAGCTGTGCTATTATCACCTCCATTTTACTAAGT